CATTGCAGCCGCGGGCCCCCTGCCTGCCCCGCAGGGCTGTCAGCCCGATGCCACGGCCCAGGACAGCAAGGCCCCGGACAAGTCCCTTGCAGGCGTGGTGCCCCATGGCACAAGAGAACGTCTGTGCAGCCGAGTTCAGCTTGGGTGGTAAAACTAAGTTTAGGAGGTAAAACTAAGCTTAGGAGGATGCAGACCTCCATGCTGTGTGTGGGTGTCAGCTCAGGCCTGGAAGCAGTAAAAATATGCTACAGCAAAGCAACTGGGCACCACCAGCATCACGTAAACACAGCAGACACATCCATGCTGATCAGCATCAATGGGCTGAGCCACAGATCGTTGAGCTCTGCAGTGTGGCAAAGACAGAGGAGCAGGAGTACTGAGCCAACAGAGCTGACGGGTGTTTAAGATTGTCTTATTTTGCAACTTTGTTGTTCAGAAAATCTTTTTTCTCTTTGCAATAACTGCAAGCTTCTGCCAGCAGAGTGGGGATGCATCTGATGGTAAGGAAATTCTTTCAAATGCTGCTTGTTGACAAAATTTAAGTGGTACTTGCTCCTGCCTTTGTGCTTCTAGATTGCCAGTAAGATGAGGATCTTTCCTCAACAGCAACTCTCATCCTATAGAGACATTAATACATGAACCCTTCCCTTGGGATGGGTGTTAAATCTCAAGTGGGAAAACAGAGGTCCTTTGATTTGCCTATGGTGCTGTGGCATTGCTACATGTGAGAGATTGGGAGTTGACTGCACGTCATTTTGCACGCTAGCTTGATCACAAACATACGCTTTGAGATAATTCTCCCAGATTAGTGCCATGTGGATGTCAGGCAAAGTCCTTTGGGAAAGCTGGGTTAGGGTTGCTACTGTGTACCTGGTTGCTTTTGCTTCACTTATCAATAGGTCTTTGCTGCTGATTTTTACCGTGGCCTGCTATGTTGGTACACAAGAGATTTAAGGCTCCCAGTTCCTCTTGGCAGCAGAAAGCCTGTGCTCCTTTCTTGTATCTCCTGCCAGCTGGAGATCCCCAGGTGATAAAAGTAGACTTTCTCCCAAAGGGTTTTGCTTGATTGGCAACGCAGTGTAAACAGTAGAAGATGGGTTCAAAATCTCCTTGGATGACCTAAATCCACAGAGTTTATGATAAGGACAAAGTGTGCATTAGCTTGCGCAACCATTTCCTCTAAAACAGGCTCCAATGTTGCGTAATGCTTAGACAACATACTGCTTCCCAATGGCAATTTTAAGTTTTGGCAGGTACAAATCTTATGGTTGTTTTTCTCTCATTATCTGTAATCACTAGCTAATTTTAAAGGCATGGGGTAAAACACTTTTGGGAGTTAGGTGGCGTTGGGCATCCCCTAGACCCACTTGTGCCACTAACTTGTAGTGACGCTTTCCTTTCTGTGAAGCCAAGCAGGCACAGCTAATCATGTTGCAAGGCAGGGAGAAGGGGATGGTCTCTGCTCACCTTGTTTTCAAGCAGCCACAAGTGGTGAGGAAAGGAACGTGAACAGCTTATCTGGTAAAGGAAAGAGCCGAGTGTGTGCAGGGGACAGTTGTCTGTGGAGATGGTGTGTCTTGTGGAAGAAGGCTAATGGTTAGAAATGCAACTGTCTGATGCCAGCAAAGACAAAACAAAGGACAGTATTTGTGGGGATGGTCTGATCAGAGGAGATTCACTTTTTTCTGACACAGGAATAGTTTGTGCATTTTTGTGTACCTGCCCTATTAGCACTTGCTCTCCTACCTACACCATAAAGAAGCACTGCGTTTTGGGAACAAACAGAATGGAAACTCTGAAGATGGATACAGTCCAAGAAGCAGCTGCCGTAGGGGGAAAAAAAAAAACCAAACCTGCTGGCATGTCCAGCCCAAGGCCACAAGATCAAAGAAGCCCTCACCTGATGCACGTGGGTATCATGGCTTGCTAAGTTGTAGTCAGGGCAAAAGTGATGTTGACCTGACTCTTCTGAGAGCCAAATTTGACCCAGCAGGCACAGAAGAGCTGTATCAAAGTGGCATGAAGTCATCTGCTGTGTTATTTCTCTCAGCACTATCTAAACACACGCTTTTGTGTTTTCACCAGATCCCCTGGTACAGCTTATAGTGAGGGCTGGCAAAAGAGACTGCTTGATGACAGTTAATGTTGGGTCTTGGCACAGGCTTCTTTTTTTATCATCTGCTGCCCATCCTAGCCGTAACTACTTCTTGCTGAGATCTGTGTCCTGTCTTGTACCCACTGTGCTCCTTTTGTTCCTCTCTTCCAGATTGCTCACCATGGTCAATGAGACCCAGCATACCTGCAGTGCCAGTTCCAGCTCCAAGTCTGATGGCGGAAGCAGTAGTGGGAGCGAGAGCTCCAAGGACAGCTCACGCTGCTCCACCCCTGTTCTCGATGCTGACCGTCATGAGCGACTGCGGGAGAAGATGCGCCGACGGCAGGACTCCGGAGACAAGTGGTTTTCCTTGGAGTTCTTCCCTCCACGCACAGCCAACGCTGCTGTCAATCTCATCTCCAGGTGAGGGCTGCAGGGTGGGAGAGGGGAGAGATGAAGTGTCTTTGGTGGAGGGCTGGGAAATAGCTAATGAGGCAGGCTCTGCCCCATGCTCTGTCTCCTCTTCCAGGTGACGAAGCAGGTAATGGGGCTGTGCTCTGCTGAGGAGGGTAATGGACACCAGGTAACTTGTCTTCCTTGGAGGTCCTGTAGAGTTAAGTGTCATGGTGGGGTTACTGAGGGGGCCAGACTGTTTCTCCTCTCCATGCTCTGTGAAGATAGAGCAACCACACTGTCATGCTCTGGAGCTGAAGCAGAGTGCTGGGGGGCAATAGAACAGAAAAGTACCTGTTAAAAGCAGAAAATATTCCTTGATGGGCAGTGTGCCAAAGTGTGGAACAGAGACTCCCACTTGCTTTCAGAATCATCCAGCCACTATGGTTTGTGCCTCTCTTACTGAGGACTACAGTTTTATCCTCTAAGATAGGTGTCCTCATCTACATGCTAAATGAAAGGTGATAGTTCTCAGCAGAGCTAAAGGTAATCATGGAGCCCAGTGGGGAGCCCCAGGAGCCACCGCATACTCACCTGGAGGAGAAGAGGGAGTTTCATAACTCTTTCTGTAACTGCTGGATGCTAGTGCCAGGTTTACTTTAAACAGAAGGGCCTGTTCCAACCCAGAGCAAGAGAGCCCCAAGTTAGGGGAGCCTTTGTCTCTTCTCTTAGTCACACTTGGGAACACAACAGAGATATGGTCCATTTTTTCGTATTTGTGGCCTCTACAGTTACAGCTGGGAACAGGGGATTGCAGCATAGTCTCCCATCTCAAAAGGAGTGGGACTTGCATTTGTCTACCAGAAGATGTATCAGTCTCATAGAGCATGCTGGGAGGAAATTTATTCTACAGAGAACATTTAAGTTGCCTCTTTTTCAAAGAGATTGTAAACTCTTCCTCATACAACCTTAAAGGATGATTTTTCTTATTTACATTGGCCACTTGCTAAACTCCTAGTCCAACACTTTTGATCTCTCCTGCTGCTGTCATCCAAGCTCTCTCTGCCTGTTGCTGGCATTCCAGCAGTGAGCAAGATATCCCAGGCACAGAGAGGGGAGTTGGCTACCTGGTAGGCTAACACAGCTCTAAAATCCACAGGTTTGACCGCATGGGAGCAGGTGGTCCCCTCTTTATTGATGTGACGTGGCACCCTGCAGGGGACCCAGGATCTGACAAGGAAACCTCTTCCATGATTATTGCCAACACTGCAGTCAACTACTGTGGCCTGGAGACCATCCTGCACATGACATGCTGCAATCAGACCAAAGATGACATCACAGGGCACCTGCAGAAGGCC